AGTTTTTCCCACAGTCAGAGCAGTTGAAGAGTTTCTCTCCTGTGTGGATTCTCCTGTGTCTTACAAGGTCTGAGCTCTGACTGAAACTTTTCCCACAATAAGAGCAATTATAGGGTCTCTCTCCTATGGGGATTGTAGGTGGATTTTTAAGACTTGAGCAAAAAGTGAAGTTTTTCCCACAGTCAGAGCAGTCAAAAAGTTTATTTCCTGTGTGGGTACTCTGATGATTAAGAAGACTTGAGTGCCGAAGGAAGCTTTTCCCACAGTCAGAGCAGTCAAAGGGTTTCTCCCCTGTGTGGGTTCTCTGATGCATAACCAGGTGTGCTTTCTGGCTGAAGCTTTTCCCGCAGCCAGAGCAAATGAAGGGTTTCTCTCCTGTGTGGATTCTCCAATGTCTTACAAGGTCTGAGCTCTGAATGAAACTTTTCCCACAATCAGAACAATTATATGGTCTCTCTCCGGTGTGGATTGTATGATGATTTTTCAGATTTGAGTGAAAACCGAAACTTTTCCCACAGTCAGAACAGCTGAAAGGTTTCTGTCCGGTGTGGGTACTCTGATGACTAATAAGACTTGAGCGCCGAAGGAAGCTTTTCCCACAGTCAAAGCAGTCAAAGGGTTTCTCCCCTGTGTGGATTCTCTGATGTATAACGAGGTATGCATTCTGGCTGAAGCTTTTCCCACAGTCAGAGCAGTTAAATGGCTTCTCTCCTGTGTGGATAGTCCTATGTCTAACAAGGTGTGACCTCTGACCGAAGCTTTTCCCACAGTCAGAGCAGTTGAAGCGTTTCTCTCCAGAGTGGCTTCTCCAATGTCTAACAAGGTCTGATCTCCTACTGAACCTTTTCCCACACTCAGAGCAGCTATAGGGTTCCCCTCCTGTATGTATTAGCTGATGTTTAATGAGGTATGAGTGCCTTCTGAACCTTTTCCCACACTCAGAGCAGTTATAGGGTTTCTCTACAGCATGGATTATACGGTGACTGTTGAGATCTAAGCAACAACTGAAGCTTTTCCCACAGTCAGAGCAGCTGAAGTGTTTCTCTCCTGTGTGGATTGTCCGATGTCTAACAAGATGTGAGCTCTGATTGAAGCTTTTCCCACAGTCAGAACACTTGAAGGGTTTCTTTCCGGTATGGATTCTACCATGTCTAACAAGGTGTGCCCTCTGACTGAAACTTTTCCTGCAGACAGAGCAGTTATAGGGTTTCTCTCTTGTATGTATTATCTGATGTTTAATGAGGTATGAGCGCCATCTGAACCTTTTCCCACACTCAGAGCAGTTATAGGGTTTGTCTGCTGCGTGGATTGTACGATGACTGTTAAGATGTGAGCGCCAACCAAAGCTTTTCCCACAGTCAGAGCATTTGAAAGGTTTCTCCCCAGTATGGATTCTCTGATGTTTAATCAAGGCTGCGCGCCGACAGAAGCATTTCCCACAGTCGGAACATTTGAAAGGCTTCTCTCCTGTGTGCGTCCTTTGATGTTCAATAAGATTTGTGCGCTGAGAGAAGTTTTTCCCACAGTCAGAGCACTTATAGGGTTTCTCTCTTGTATGAATTTTCTGATGTCTAGTAAGGCAGGAGCGCTGACTGAAGCATTTCCCACAGTCAGAGCAGATGAAGGGCTTCTCTCCTGTGTGGGTTCTCCTATGTCTAATGAGGTGGGGCCTCAGTCTGAAGCTTTTCCCACAGTCAGAGCAGCTGAATGGTTTCTCTCCTGTGTGGATTCTCTCGTGTTTAATCAGGTCTGAGCGCTGACTGAAGCTTTTCCTACACTCAGAGCAGTTGAAGGGCTTCTTTCCTGAGTGGGTTCTCTGGTGTAAAATAAGGGCCTCTCTCCGATGGAAGATCTTCTCACAGTCGCCGCAAGTATAGGGTTCTTGCTGATTGAGAATTATCTGTTGATTGGGTTCTTTATTTATTTTCACCCCTCTGCTCCTGTGACTGCATTTACCCTGTCCCTCTCTTGCATGGTTTCCCTGCTGCCGTTCTAGGCTACTCTGATTCTCACAGGTCTCTCCCCGCTCAGGACTCTGGGAAACATGCCCCTCGGATCTTCCCAGGAACATCGCACATGGAGCCACTTGCACATGGGGACTCTCTTCATTGTTCTTACTCAGCGTCCTATCATCTGCTGGGAGAGAGAATCCAGACAGGAGTCATTGTCTGCGCTGAGCTGAATGGAAAACTCTGACAGAGGAACAGAAAAGGGGGAACACATCCAAATAATGGCTCTAAAGTTTGAATAATCATGAGCTGAATGCATCCTCCTTCCTCACAACCATTCCCAATTGAGAGAATCCAGCTTATCCCCACCCCAAATGGAGGTGAAGACGCTGGAGTTGAAGTTGTGGGTACATTCCTTACACATTCAAGCTGAAAGGTCAGCTAAACTTGATGAAATGCATTTTACCCTGCCTGGACATTCAATAATGGGTTTAAAAGTAGCCATCCTTCTACAAAATAATTTTATCACCCAAACTATTGTTCATTCACAAATTCAACACTATCAATTAGACTTGACTTAAGATTTTAATTGGTTAATGCACTACAAAGGCAATTTCCCCTGCTTTTGAGAGGGTAAAATGTGGTCAGTAAGACTGCATCTTGAGGCACATGTTATTCTAAACCATAAGAATATAAGAACGGCCACGCTGGTTCAGACCAATGGTCCATCTAGCCCAGTATCCTGGCTGCCGACAGTGGCCAATACCAGATGCCCCAGAGGGAGGGAACACAACAGGTAATCCTCACATGATCTCTCCCGTCACCCACTTCCAAAGCAATATTGGATAACTGAAACCAACTTGATGAGGGGGAGAAAAAAACTGTCCACAGGTTGTATGAGATAATGTGGAGACGACTGGACAGATGGGGCAGGAATGTCCGGGTGGGTGAAACAAAATGGCCAAGGGAAGAGTTTAGGCCACTGCACATGTTCAGTTTATACCCCATGCGTTTCTGGGATGGTGGGCGAACATCCTCCCGTAAAAAGATAACAAGGGGGGAAGGGAGGCCTTGCTGGCGCCCTTGGCATCACAGCATGAACCAATGGCTGGGAACCAAAATAGACAGGCCTTGGCAGAATGGCAGTGCACTAGGTACCAGCTAACCAGGCAAGCAAATTCCTAAGTGGTGAGGAGGGCAGAAAACACCAATCTCTGAGGTACCTGCAACACCTGGATTTTGAACATCTGGGTTCAAAAAAGAACTAGATAAATGAATGGAGGACAGGTCCGTCAATGGCTATTAGCCAGGCTGGGCAGGGAGGGTGTCCTTAGCCTCTGTTTGTCACAGGCTGGAAATGAATGAAGGAGAGGGATCACATGAGGATTCCCTGTTCTGTTCACTCCCTCCGGGATACCTGGCATTGGCCACTGTTGGCCGACAGGACAGTGGGCTGGATGGACCTTTGGTCTGACCCACTCTGGCCGTTCTTATGTTTTTATACACACACACTTCCAAGAGATGGCAGAGGAACACACTGACTCAAATCAGGGCGGAAAGGATAGGGGGGTTGAGGAGAGAATAGTTACGAGTGTTTTGTTAAAATGAACAGGTGCAAGGATAAGGATGGTAGCAACACACATTAAGCACAATGTGCACGCTGTTTGTGTCAGTGCGTGGAAGGAGAAGTCACAGGAGGGGCACGTTCGCACTGGCGGAGGGGCAGCGTTCTGGTTGCTGATTCAGCTGGTCCCGTTTTCAGGGTGGGACACATCTCACTGTACCAGTGCCTGGGGAGCTGGGACACTAACACCCTGCTCCTTCGACAGTAAACCTAACCAAGCGCCTTAGCCCCCAAACAAAGCCCAGGTATTTCTTTAGCCACAGCCCTGAGCTGTGCTGCATGGGCAAGCCACACGTTCTGCCAGTGCAGCCAGCATTAGAGCGCCAGAAAGAGGCGCCCTGGGCAGCCGTAACGATGCTCTGTGGCGCTAGCGGCATTCATACGGCACCACAGCTGCTACAGGAAGCAAAGAAAGTCAGTCACAGCAGTACCTGGGACCTCCATTGTCAATCAGAACCCCACTATGCTATCAGTAGGGATTGCCGAACCGCAGCGAGCCCCGCTCGCCAGCCGTGCATCCACAGATCATTCTGCGCATCCGCAGATCGCCCAAACCTGGCACTTCCGGGTTACAATCTACTCGCCATAGGCGAGTAGATTGTATTATTTGTCGAGCCCTGGCTATCAGGGTGCTTATATGCAGCTGAGCCCTGTGAAACAGGGACATACTGTAATGACTATTGCAGAGACAGGAAACTGGGGCGCAGTCAGTCTAAGTGACATGACCAAGGTCACACGGGAAGTTCGTGTTGGGACAGGGAATTGACCGCAAGTGCCATGTCTGAAACGGAAGAAGTGCTCTGTTCAAGTTTATCTGCTACAGAGCTACTCTCCACAGAGCTCTCGCAGGATGTGAACGGGCTCATCCACCCTCTCTCAGCCCCAGGAACCAGCATGTCACAGAGATCAGCCACAGGCAGGGAAGGACTCCAGGAACAGCACCCTCCTTCCAGGGGCTCAGCCCACTGGCACAAGGGGGACCCCACAGGCACCAACAGCAGCCGGACCCGGACCTCTCGTACCTGCCGTTCCTGCCTGGGCCCTTCCACTGACACCTCCGGCCAAGGCACAACATGGGCAAGATGGTGGGGAAGCGCATTGAGACCTTGGCAGTGGGAAAGGCAGTACTATTGTTATGTCCATGTCCTTGCATTCCCTGGAAAGGGGCATGGAGGGGACAGTCTCTCACACAGGAGCCAGGATTTAGGGGCTCTTACTTTCAATATTGGGGGGGCAGGGGGCAATAAGAGACCCTGAACCAAACCTGACCCAGCTGCTCAAGAGCCACCGGCCTCCCAGCCCCCTCCCAGCTTCTGATACCCCAGGGGACAGGAATCCTTACCCAGCCAGCTCACAGCCTCATAATTGTCCTGCATCACATCCCAGTAGAGGGCTCTCTGGCCTGGGTTCAGCAGAGCCCATTCCTCTCAGCAGAGCCCATTCCTCCTCAGAGAAGTACACAGCCACCTCCTCGAAGGTCACTAGCCCCACCACAGCCATTTCCGGTCCCTTGTTCTGCAGGCCAGGGGCTGAGCTGGAGACAGACATGGGTGTTCTGCTGCCTGTCAGGGGGAGAAGGGCAATCGGAGACATTTCAGAAGGGGCTTTAATCCTTTCCATGCCCCCGTTCTGCCCAGACTCTGTCCCTGTTGACACACAGGCTAGACTCTGCCATTCTGGGCAAATACTGAGTCTAGGTATTATATAAACAGCACCCACCAGTTAGATCCATATTATTTTCTCTCGATACCTGGCTTGTTCATTATTTTTGATAAACAAGCCTGATATTCAGGCAGGTGACTATGCATGTAGGTGTCTAAATGTAGGTTCCTGTAGTTAAAGCCCCTAGTCTTCATCCATTTATTTGCAGCACACACCTGGGCCCTCTCATCAGAACTAAACTTTATAAACCTTCTGCAAAAGAGAGATTAAAGGAAGTCAAGGAGACCCTTTAGATGCTTGAAATAAAACATGCATGCTTTAGATCACGTAGCTGCGGCACAAGCCCTTACATTTAATCTCGTTACCCCAGTGCAAACCTGTATTCCCCCAAAGCATATTTTCTAGAAACCTGTCAAGTTTTGCTTTGAAGACTTCGAGATATGGAGAATCTGCCACTTCCTCTGGTCATTTCGTTCAGCAGCTAATCATCTTCCCTATCAAACATTTGTGCCTACTATCTAGATCACGTAGCTGCGGCACAAGCCCTTACATTTAATCTCGTTACCCCAGTGCAAACCTGTATTCCCCCAAAGCATATTTTCTAGAAACCTGTCAAGTTTTGCTTTGAAGACTTCGAGATATGGAGAATCTGCCACTTCCTCTGGTCATTTCGTTCAGCAGCTAATCATCTTCCCTATCAAACATTTGTGCCTACTATCTAGTTTGAATTTGTCTGGCTTCTGCTTTCAATTACCTGTTCACACTAAGCCTCTAACCAGTAGACTGAAGAGGCCTTGGGGATCCAGCAGTTTCTCTCCTTGAACAGACTTATACAGTGGAAGCCAGTCAGCTTTCAGTGTTTTTTAAAACAGCAGCATATTTAAACTGAACATTGACATTTTTCAAATTTAAGGTGCTGTAACTTATGAGCTTTAACGTCATACCTTTAGCGACATAACATGGAGACAAACCCTTCATAAGGGAAATGAGGTTAAAAACCTGCTAACTCCTTTAGTTTGAAATGTTTTAGCTCCTCTAACGGGAGAGAGGGGGTGTTGGCTGCAGACATTCAGCTGCAAATAGCTGTGACAGCAAAACGGTACCATTAGCTCCACAATGGGTAACAAAGCTGTCATGCTATTAATAATAGTGATGTTAAAATGTGTTTAAGTAACTGTGTAACTGCTGAAAATTTCAGCAGTTACAGCTGCAGTGGCAAGCCAGCTATCTGCGCATATCAGGAGCTTATGCATAACCGTTAATGTTAACCAATGAGTACACACTCTCCGGTTAACTGTGTACATGGTTACATGTTTATATCTCTAATTAATAATGTTTAACTTCACATCTGAGCCAGTGTTATAGTCTGTCCTCAGCACTAAGAAAAGTTGTAATTTACTATGGACTAACAAACAAGCAAGAGCTAGCTCCTGTAAAAACAATGGGGAAAAAGCCAAATCTGCCTAGGTCAGCACTATGCCAGAAATCCAACCTATACAAGAGAAGGAAAAACTTAAAAAACAATAAATAGTCTTGCAGCACCTTAAGTTTTTCCAGTTACAGACTAACTCGGCTACCCCTCTGAAGCTTTTATATAGAGAAGGGTTATTCATTTTAAAAATCCTGGATTTTAGTAACACAGAAGAATAGAACCGTCAGAAGGAAAAACACCGTGAAAGTGAATCGTATCAATAGAGGTAGCCTATATAAAAATGTCTTTAAAATGTGCAATTAGAAGTATAAACAAATGAGTAGAAAGCCCAAAATTGATATATGCAATAGGGATGTTAACTAACATGTTTTTGTGTAAACGTGTAACATCTTACATTTTAGTTACGCATTTACATGGGGGGGGGGCAGGAGCTAGCGCTCATGGGGCAAGCACCAGCTCCCGCCTACCCCCCTCCCGTTGCTTCTGATAAAGAGGCACGTGACACCATGGGATCTGGTGCTCGTGGGGAGCCGATCCCACAAGCACTGGCTCTCACCTCTCCCCTGGTTTGCAGCCTCTGACACAGGGACAGCAAGGGCAGGTGTGTGTGTGTAGTCGTTAGGATTAACTAAAAAATCCAGGCTTGATGGGTAATTGTTTACAGGCCTACTATACACAAACATCCCTACCACTTACCAAATTCTCGGAGTGGCTCCCCTATCAAAAAATCATTACCCACTTCTGAGCTGGGCCACTCCTGGCCAGTGTTTGTCTCACATGGAGCATCGCTGACCTAGACAAATCACAGATCCTGAGTCAGCCGCCAAAACCCAGGAAAATTATCCCCCGCGATGCACAAAAATGAACAGCAAACACATTTTTAAAAGACTCCGGTTTTCAGGTCTTTTGGTGTCTGATTTCCCCACTGGCGTGTGACAAGGAGCCTCCCCTCTCCCCAGGCAGTGAATGATTTGGGTCCCAGGGCAAAACCTCCCCCACCTGGGGTTGCCAGGTATCCAGTTTTTGCCCAGACAGTCCATTATTCGGGTCCCCCGTCCGGTAAAAAAAAAAAAAAGAAAATATGGGACAAGTGAAATGTCCGGTATTGTAGTGGAATTTGCCCCCTGCCCAAAAAAGATAAGGAACTAGCCTAACAGCAGTTAGGGGCCCACTAGCCTGTCGAGCAAGAATGAAGCTGTATTTCACATTTTCTAACTTGTGACAGGCACAAGCAGGCAGAAATCAGCAACATAGCTATGAGAAAGTAAAACCGCACATAGGCATAAGATAAGAGTACCCCTCCCCAACTACTGGAATGCCAATCGTGAACGTTAGAAATAATGTATTGCTGTGCTTTAACCAATGAAATGTAAAAGCCAATCAAACTGTTATTCATGTATCCGATAAAAAGCTATGCACAGAGCGGCACGGGGTCGCTCCTCGCCATTTTTTGGCTATAAAGCTCGAGGGGACGACCATCAGCGCTGATTAATAAAAGTCTGGTAAATCCTCCTTCGGGCATCCGTGTCATTCTGTTACACCGGTTTGAGTCTGGTACGGTTACAGTATTTCCTGCTTCTCGTGGACAGGAGTCCACCCACAAAAAGTTCAGTTACCTTTAAACCTGCTGACATGTGTGTACTGGGAAAGACACAGTGAGCCATCCATGTTCCACTCTCTTTCCTCATTGTTCCACCTCCAGGAGACAGTATTTCCTCCAATCATTGAAGGCTTTGTGGGAATTAAAGATGAGTCAATGTCAAAGAGACCACGCTATCCTCTGTGCTCCATGCTGCATATCTCTCTTCCATTATTCGATGGAAAAATAAATTAAGGTCCAGACCATATGATCATTAAAGTTCCCAGGCCACATTTTAGTTAAGCAGGATCATTAACCATAGTGTCCAAGCTGAATTCCAATCCAGGAATGACATTGCAAATGCTTATACAGTCTGCAAATTCCACTGGACAGGACAGTTCCCTTCCTTTCTTGCCCTAAATTATGGGCCACAGAAACACCAGTTTTTCATTAGTGTAACTCTGCTAGCATAAATGGAATTACTCCTTAATTCTGGTGGTGCAAATGAGACTCTGTATATCCATTGCCTGTTTCAGAGAGATTCTGAGGTTTAGTTACTTAAGAGGCCTCATTACACCACTCTCCCCTGTACTGATGCAAATCAAGAGTAACAGAAATTTAGAAGTGATGGAGGTGAGATCAGAATTTTGCCCCTGATTCAGTTCTCCAGTATGGAGAGAAATTCAGAAATCTGGACATGAATCTGAATTCTCCAAAACTTTGAATCTTAAAAGTTGGACAGCAAATCTTTCAAGAATGAGTTCTCACCATAGATTCTGTGTGGACACCACAAGTACTGCTTTTCTCATGCTCCTTAAATAACAGATATGCAAATATTAAAAATAAATAGATGGAAAGGTCAAAGCAAACTACTTTTCCAATTTAGAAAAAGAGATTTATTTTGGGTGTATTTCATAGACTCATAGACTTTAAGGTCAGAAGGGACCGTTATGATCATCTAGTCTGACCCCCTGCACAATGCAGGCCACAGAATCTCACCCACCCCTCCCAGAATAACCCTCACCTAGAGCTCAGATATTGAACCCTTCAAATACTGTGAAGGCCCCAGGATGCAGAGACTCCTCCAGCTGTGATCTGTGCCCCATGCTGCAGAGGAAGGCGAAAAACCTCCAGGGCCTCTGCCAATCTACCCTGCAGGAAAATTCCTTCCCGACCCCAAATATGGCGATCAGCTAAACCCTGAGCATGTGGGCAAGACTCACCAGCCAGACACCCAGAAAGTTCTCTATAGTAACTCCTATCATCCCTCCATTGACCTATTTCCCACTGATAATGAATGGTCAATTAGTTACCAAGATCCTGTTATCTCATCAAACCATCCCCTTCATAAACCCATCTAGTTTAATCTTGAAACCAGATAGATCTTTTGCCCCCACTACTTCCCTTGGAAGGCCGTTCCAGAACCTCACTCCTCTAATGGTTAGAAACCTTCCTCTAATCTCAAGTCTAAACTTCCTACTAGCCAGCTTATATCCATTTGTTCTTGTGTCCACATTGGTATTAAACTTAAATAATTCCTCTCCCTCCCTGGTATTTATCCCTCTAATCTATTTAAAAAGTGCAATCATGTCCCCCCTCAGCCTTCTTTTGGTTAAAATAAACAAGCCAAGCTCCTTAAGTCTCCTTTCGTAAGACAGGTTTTCCATTCCTCGGATCATCCTAGTGGCCCTTTCACAGACCTGGAGGGGCCGCTGCCTTGCACCCCCCATGACACGAAAAGCCAAGCGCCTGGCGCGTAAGAGCAGGGTTTCTCAACCTTTTGCTTTATAAAGCACCCCTCCCCATCTTTTAAAAAATGACTAAATTGTAAGTACCCCCAGTACCTACAGTTTTCAGACACACACCAATTTTTTTCTGCCATTGCAACACATTTGTTTAAACAACTTAATTGTTGTTTCATCGCTTCATCGAGCGATGACATTTGGGGGTGTAAAAAGTACAAAAATAATAAAGCCCTGTCAAACTTAAAACAAAAATTAAGTTTTCTCCCAATTTCAGTGGTGTTGACCTACCTCCCCCCAGACTTCTCTCCTACCACTGGTTGAGAAACGCTGCTTAAGAGCACTTAGGACCCACTCCCACTGTTTCATTCAGCATGGACTCTCTAACTGACAATATTTTCCCCCTTCTTTCTCCTTCTCTTTCCCCCACCCCTCTGTCCCCTCTCTTTCTGTGCTGTTTATTTGGAAATTGGACCCCTTAACTCCATTCATCTGAAGAAATGGGTTGTGCCCACGAAAGTGCATGATACCATCTACATTTTCTGTTAGTCTCTAAGGTGTTGCAAGACTATTTGGTTTTTTGTAAAGTTTTTTTCAGTTACAGACTAACATGCCTCCCCCTCTGAGACTTCTGCTAGTAGAGTTTCCAAAGGGCACAACTTAGTTTGCAATGGAGACAAGAGACACAACTTAATTTATGATGCTAACAAGAAACAAGGCCCTAGAGGAAACATTGTCTAAACATCAGAGGCAGAGTGATACAGAAGCCTGCAGAACTGATAAGCAAATCATTTTATAGGACTTTATTGCCATCCTTATACTTATGTTCTTATACCAACACTAAACAACTACACTTTGGCTACAAGTGTTCAGCTGGGATGCAGGGGAGAACTGGTCCTGTCCTCTAAGGGATTCGGTTCCTCGTTCAACTCTCTCTCCATTGGTTACTTTGGTTTGTTCCTCCCTTTCCTTGTTCTCCTTCCCTCAGCACAGGGACTGACTTCTCTCTGTTCTCTCTCTGTCCCAGCAGGTGATGGGCCGGTGAGTGAGGGAGAAAATCTGGAACAGGAAGGTGCTGAGCGGGTGGAACAAGAGGAGCGGCTATTCAGACATCCAGAAGGGAACGTTTCCCAGAGTCCTGGGCGGGGGGCTGATGGATGCAATCTGCGGAAGTCCCTCAGGCAGAAAAGAAGCCAGCCCGCGGGGAGAGAGCTCCTAGAAACCGCACCCAAGGAAATCCCCACTGGAGAGAGACTGAACTCGTGCGGTGAGTGTGGGAAAACCTTCCGCTGGAGGTCGGCCCTCGTCGACCACCAGAGAATCCATACGGGAGAGAGGCCCTATCGGTGCGATGAATGTGGGAGAGGCTTCAGCCGGAGCTCGAACCTCACGACCCATCAGCGGCTGCACACTGGAGAGAGACCCTACAAGTGCCCCATCTGCGGGAAAGGCTTCAACCACAGCTCCAATCTGTCTGCCCACCAGCGAACCCACACGGGAGACCTGCCTTACAAGTGTCCTGAGTGTGGGAAAAGCTATAGTGTCAGCTCCTACCTCCTGAGACACCAGAAAATCCACACGGGGGAGAGACCCTACCAGTGTGACGAGTGTGACAAGAGTTTTGGCCAGAGCTCGACCCTGGTTATCCACAAGCGAGTGCACACGACCGAGAAGCCCTACCAGTGCCTGGAGTGTGGGAAATGTTTCCGCAACAGCTCTGACCTTATCAGGCACCAGAGAACTCACACAGGAGAGAGACCTTATAAATGCAGCCAGTGTGGGAAAAGTTTCAACGAGAGCTCGCACCTCACGAGGCACCAGAAAACCCACACCAGGGAGAGGGCCTATAAATGCCTCGAATGCAATAAATGTTTCAAGAACAGCCCCAGGCTTCTGAGACACCAGCGAACCCACATGGGGGAGAAATCCTACCAATGCCCTGAGTGCGGGAAGAGCTTCAATCGGAGCTCAAACCTGGTTGTCCATCAGAGATCCCACATGGAGCAAAAGCCCTACAAGTGCTTGGACTGTACTAAAACCTTCAGTTGCAGCTCACAGCTGATCAGGCACCAGAGGATCCACACGGGAGAGAAGCCCTATAAATGCCCCGACTGCGGGAAAAGTTTCACCGTGAGCTCGCAACTGACTTCCCACCAGAGACTCCACACTGGCGAGAAGCCCTACACATGCCCTGAGTGCGGGAAAAGCTTCCGGCATAGCTCAGGGCTTGTGTCCCATCAGCGGAAACACAGGAAGGAGGGCTGCCCTGTGACTGGCCCCATTGTAGTGACAGCCCAGACTGTGTTGCATATTACGGTCATGCCCGTCCAGAGCAGCAGTGCATAGACCCCATGCACAGTGTTTCCTGTAAGATGGGCGCTTGTGTGGCCACTCAGAAGATATTCCAATGCCATACAGCTGATTAGCAAAGCACCCGCAAGTGGTGCACATTCACACCTGTATGGGTGCACAGAACAAACATCATTCCACACACAGATAAAAAAGATGAGAGGGACACTGCCCATGCAGGAGAGATGATACAGCTGTAGACTGGGTTGAAACGTTCCCACCAAAACTATTTTTGATGGGAAATTGGAGGAGTTGAGTTGAGCCTTTGTTTGTGAAAAGCATCAGGTGTCTGGTTTCTGGGAGAAAAAAGTGCATGTCCTGGCCGGGGGGGAGTGTTATTGTTTGGATCAAAAAACTGAATTCTCTGAACCTGAAATATTTTGCTTTGGAAATGTTACTACAGGCTGTACCTTTATCATCTGGAACTCTGTGGTCCAGCAACTGGAGCACGGATGTTCCAGGGCCAGAGTCCTGGTGCTCTGCAGGGAGGTGGGGGGTGCACGGCCCCATGAGGGGATGCCCCTTCCCAGCAGCTGTGCAGATGTACCCCAGGAGGGAAAAGCACGGTGCATTTTGGGTAAGGCTGTGAGTCTCTCCCGGGGTTCACGGAAGTCATGTCTTCCTGCATGACGGCTGCAGCCTGCCGGTGTGCCTGACCCCTCACAGCAGTGGGCATGGCCCTGGGTTCCTTCTCGAATCTAGGCCTTTCTTGTGACAAAGGGAATGGAAACTGACAGTCTGGAGCCCAGAACGATGGCTTCAGAGCCGGGCTGGGGCCCTGCCCCAAGAAGAGGGTGACCCATGGAAAGAAACAGCAGTAGCGTGACCGAGACAGATGACAGACGCGGCAGGGAAGCCTTGGTCTACGTGTGACATGTAGCCTGGCAAAGCAGCGGCACTCCGGGGTGTGAAAAATCCACATCCCTGCTCACCAGAGCCGAGCCGAGCTAACCCTGGCACACGTACAGCTAGGCCCAGGGCAAAACGCTTCCATCAGCCTGTGCCGAAGGGGGGCTTGTATCCGCTCTGTTCGCTTTGGTATGTTGCCTGGGAATTCTACGGTCCTGTAGTAACCCCGCGTGTGTGCGCGCGCCTCAGTTTCCCTGGGCACTGCACCGGTGCCCGGCTGGAGATGGGAATTTTAGGGGTGACGCTCACTGAGGGAGGCTGCCCTGAGTCTCAGCTGATGCCTTCTGTAACCTGAGCCTGTGGAGGGGGGGTGCGACCAGGTGACACCTTTTTGCCCACAAAGGCTGGAGGCGGGGCTGGCTGCAGGCAGAGATGGGCTGCTGGGTGTGTGCGTGACTCTCGCTGGCTTGGGGGTCAGAGATGAGAAGCGGGTTGTACTGACTGATCCTGGTTCTGCGTCCCGGTGAACCAATAAACTTTCTGTTCTCCCTGCTGCCTGAGATTCACGTCTGGCTGCGGGTGGGGGTGCAGGGTCCGGTGGCTCCCCGCCCCTCAATGACAGTCCAACTAGTGTCTCGCGCAGAGGGGGTGTTCCTACAGCACCTGCGATTAGCTGCCCCCTTCCCAGCGCCACCGTGGAGACGTGGCCCCCGGGCGTCTGGGAGCTGGACCGAAGATTCTACCGACCACGACTGACCAGTTCAGCGGGTGAGCTTGTCTGGGCACAGCCCCTGTCGGTGGCTCCCCGCCCCTCAATGACAGTCCAACTAGTGTCTCGCGCAGAGGGGGTGTTCCTACAGCACCTGCGATTAGCTGCCCCCTTCCCAGCGCCACCGTGGAGACGTGGCCCCCGGGCGTCTGGGAGCTGGACCGAAGATTCTACCGACCACGACTGACCAGTTCAGCGGGTGAGCTTGTCTGGGCACAGCCCCTGTCTGCTCAGCTCGACGGCCTGTCTCCGTTCGGCCCGGCGTGAGGAACGTGCTGGCGTTTGAAAAACCTTTGGATAATGCTAGGCATTCATGGACCAAACCGTGCCCCCCACCCCCTGCAGCTTTTGAGACCCTGGGGGGGCAGCTATGCAGTGGGGGTGGGAGGTTAGGGGTAGGCTTAGGGCCCCTCCCCCACCCTCTT